CTCTCTCACTGATAGGATTAGAACTTATTTTCATTTGCTTCTTTGTGCTGTTCAGTTTTAAAAAATGGAAAATATAACGACCACTGTTTTTGTAAACAAAAAAGAGACAATACACTCATCTCCGTAAGATTGTTGAAAAGCCCAAACTGTAATAACATATTTGGCTGTGGGGAAAAAGTAAACCAAGCCCTAACCTGAAAGTCCAAGGGCCCGATTTCCTGTGTCAGTGCCCGGCCTGGAAATGCGAGTCCACCGCCAGCTTTAGGGAGAGGATGTCAAGTGCACACCCGACCGTAACGGAGAGAAAGTCGACGTCCGAGGCCCCCGCCCGCATCCTGCGCAGCGCGGCAGCTGGGCGCGGAGCGCGAGCACCCAACACAGCCGCAGCCCGCGCCGGCGCGCAGCCCGGGGACCCTCCCGAATCCGCGCGGAACCGCGCCCCGCGAACGCGGACGGGGGCGGGGCTGCAGGGNCCGCTTCCGATCCCGAATCCCTGAGTGACGCAAGGCCGCGGAGGCTCTCACCATTGGCCGCCGGCGGGAGCACCAACTCCCGGTTTGCGCCGCGAGCCGCCGGAAGCGGAGTCGCCATGGTGCGCTTCAAGCACAGGTAAGCGCCCCGCGGCCTGCGCCTCCGCGCCCTCGGCCCTGCCCTCACCTCCCTCTCGCCCCCCTCCCCAGGTACCTGCTCTGCGAAGTGGTGTCTAACGACCCCCGCTGCCGCCTGAGCCTGGATGACCGAGTGCTGGTCGGCCTCGTGCGGGACACGGTTGCCCGCGTGCACGGGACTTTCGGCGCGGCCGCCAGCTCCATCGGCTTCGCGGGTGCGAGGGTGCTGGGGAACCTGGCCGATGCCGGGACTTAAAGGGGTTGGGGGCTGGACAAGAAGAGCACGAGCGACCTACGGAGCTGCCAAGCCTGGTACACCATCCACGATGTGGTCCTTTGTAGGAGTCTGGGACCGAGCCCCGGGTGTGGACGAGTCCAAAGTTAGGCGGAGAGCCGAGAGCAGAAAGCAGTGGAACTTGGGGCAAGAATCCCCTGTACCTATTTGACAACGTTTATTGGGGATTGCTACTAATTTAATAGGATGGTTTGAATTAAATGAGGGGAGACGTGTATAGTTTAAGTTAGGTGACTGGTTACATTAATATCACGTGGAAAAAAGAACTAACCCTGAAAAGCCCTTAATAGGGCCTGTATAGAACCTACAGTTATGTACATGAGGAAGGAGAGGGCCCTTCCAACAGCACACAAATCTAAATTCATTCCCTCTTTTACCATATGCTCGAAGTGGAATCCTGGGGAATTATATGAACACAGGCACAATTCTACATCAGGTGACACTCAGCTGGCTGCTACAAGAACCTAGAGCCCAGCTGCAGAGCCTTTTTTCAGCCAAAGGTTTTCTTCTGAGGAAGTTGGGTCTCTGCCTCCCCACCCCCAATTTATCGCGTTAACAAGTCAGTGAATTAAAACATTTAAAATTCTAAATTCATCAGTTGTGGGTGGTGTGCAAGGCGCTGGATATTGTCTAGCCCCCACCACCCCCACTTCCATAAATGAAATTCTGTCCTAAAATTTTTTCCCTTCAGGATTTTTTTTACTCACTGATGTGTCCAGTCCAAAGTGCCACTGCCTTGAGCAGTCTCTGGCACATAGTAGGCTCTCAGTTACCCTAAGACCTTTGACCTGCTGCTGAGAATCCAGTTTCCCAAAATGAATTTTTTTCCTGCTGTAGTGCGATACCTCAATGCCTACACTGGAGTAGTGTTGCTTCGCTGCCGAAAGGAATTCTACCAGCTTGTGTGGTCAGCTCTTCCCTTCATCACATACTTGGAGAACAAAGGACACCGTTACCCGTGTTTTCTCAACACCCTGCACGTGGGAGGTAGGGGTGCACGTGATATGGCTGATTTTCAATAGGTAACAGGTTCAGAGTTCAGTCACAACTGCTGGGTGGGTCTGTCTATCCTGCCAGGAACACGAGGCTTTCCCCTAGCTCTGAGTCTTTGAGGCGGACACCTTTCACAAACTTGCCCACAAAGCTCTTTCATGTGCCAGGTACAATTAGAACATGTCAGAAGTTCCTGATTCAGTACAACAGGAGACAGCTGTTGATCTTACTGCAGAACTGCACTGATGAAGGTAAGCAACATCAACCCAGTGTCCACTGAGCAGTGACTGACCTCCGGCTATCAAAAACATCTTTCATCCATGCTCTGCCTTTCTCCAGGAGAACGGGAAGCTATCCAGAAGTCTGTCGCTAGAAGCTGTTTACTAGAGGAGGAGTCGGGTGAGGAGGAGCTTTCAGATGGTGGTGAGGAAGCTGCTGAAGCAATGGAGTGAACCTCTGCAGGCCACACTGTGCCCAAGCCACCTCAGGACCTTCTACATTTCTAGGATCTGCTTTCTCCATAGTAAAGTGGATGTCAAAGTCCCTGACACATCTGATAGATTTGTGACTTTTGCTTCACATGCTCCTTCATCCCCCCAGAGTTTCTGACCCAGGACTTCTGAACCACTTCCTGTTAAGAGTGATAGGTTGAAGCTAAGCCCAGCTTATGCTCATAGTAGCTGATACTTTAACCTATTCCATAAGTATGTCTAGCTGACCTGAACTTTAAAAAAAAAAAGCTGCCCTGGCCGGGCAGCTCAGATGGTTAAGAGCATGGTTCCCAATATGCCAAGGTCGCAGGTTCGATTTCCCAGTCAGGGGACATACACAAATCAACCAATGAATGCATAAAGAAGTAGAACAACAATTGATGTTTCTCTTTCTCCCTTCCTCTAAGTCAATAAATTAAAAATAAAACAGAAAGCTCACATTGCTTGTGCAGGTAATTTATTGCAACTGTTTGCCTTCACATTCTACTACACCTAGAAGTTACTTATTAAGCAGCAAAAGAATTCACATCACTCCAATTTAGATCAAACCAAGGCATAAGACAACTTTAGGCAACAGAGGCAGTGGGCAACCCCACTGCTTTCAAACCTGTCCTGCTCTGCCTCCAGGTGTGCTGGACTCCTCTGTTCCTACAACTCAGGTCACTGTCACTTGAAACAAATTTGACTTATTAAAGGTTGGCAGGTCCCAAGGCTTCCTTAGTGACTGTTACAGCTTTCCTTGCCAAACAGAAGCCATGTGTGAGAGGCAAACCCTCCATCACATATGCAAGTGCAGCCTCGGTCTGGCCCCACAGCCTGGCCGTTGTCAGACGAAAAACTGCAATTCAAGCTGGGTATGCTAAATCCATTTTATTCCCATCCCTCTGTTTCTTTTTAAGAGAACTGAACAGACAGAAATGATTCAGCTATTTTTAAAAGACTCACTGATAGGTATGCTGAAACCATGACGCCCTGACACATGTTAGAGCAGAGCAGTGCTATTGAGCACTCTGGTTTGGGATGCTTGTCCAATGGATATTGAAGGGACTCAAACTTCTTTGGGGTTGAGAAAAACTAATTACACATGGGTCAAAAAGACTAACCTGGCAACAAACTAAACCTCGGCAGGAAGAGATCTCTCATGAGTGTCAATACTTTANTCAAAAAGACTAACCTGTCAACAAACTAAACCTCGGCAGGAAGAGATCTCTCATGAGTGTCAACACTTTATTTTGGTGTAAAGACGGGAAGCTGGAAAATACACTGTATTTAAAATCTTGGTTCCCCCTCATGTTGTGGAAACCCCCTCCCCCCAGAACTAATCTGTTCAAACTCAAAAACTTAAAAATTACAGCAGCAAAACAAAAGCACAGAAAAAAGAAAACCAGATGGAGACGGTAGCCTGGGCCAGTAGTGTCACTTGGTGTGGACAACTGAGGTGCTGAACAGGAGCTTCTGTTTCTGTTTTTTCCTTTTCTTTCCTCCTTTGTCTTCTAAATGGAAACAGAAAGAGAGCTTAGCTTAGAATGCCATCCTCTTGTCCCCTGGCCAGTTTTCATTACTGAGAATGGCAGCTAAGAGCAGACTCTGGAATCAGAATGCCAGTCCTTGCATACTCTAGGTGTTTGTCTTTGAACAAGTCCTTTTATCTCCCTAGACCTGTTTCCTTGACTATAACATGAGAATTAGACCCATTTAATATGGTTAATAGGAGGAAAAAATCACCCCAACACCAGGGACACATAGGAAGCACACCACAAATGTTAGTGTTACTCTTATCTAATCAAGAATACCAGAGTGGTGGTAGGCTTCAAACCCAATTTCTGCATTTATGAGCCACCCTTCACCAGCTCAGAATTCCAGAATCTACTTTCCACTGCTATGTCTTAGAGGGGGAAAAAAAGAGTTCCTTAGAACTTCACATCCAGGCCTCGAGAATTAACCCAAGGTGGTAAAAAGGTCCTATGTGACATACCAAATGGAGTGTTAGCTGACACCAGAAAGGTGAGCCTAAAGGCTCAGGAAAAAGTGCCCAACTGATTAACAACATCTGCCACCAGATCCAGGCAGGAAGGCCAACCCTGCGCTGAGCACTCCCGTTCTTTGCCTTTACCAGAGAGGACATCTGAAGTAGCTGGCGTGTCCAGTTTCATGAAGGCAGCTTCGATAGCTTGGCTGAAGGAATTCTGGAAACTGGGCACAGGAACACGGTCTGAGTTATCACTCTCCCCGTCACTGTCCACAGGCGCAGGAGGGACTAGGCTGTTTTCATCTAAAAAATACCAGTGTTGAAATTCTAGAGACTTACCTTCTGAAAGGGGTAAAACATGCTCCCCCCCACCCCCAGCAGTGCCATCCTCACCTTTCTTTGGAGCAGTTTTGGNTCCCACCCCCACCCCCAGCAGTGCCATCCTCACCTTTCTTTGGAGCAGTTTTGGGCCACACATCTGCTTTTGCTTTCCCAACTCTCAGCATCTGCCAAAGTGGGACAGAAGAAATCTAATGATTTGTTAAATAATGGGGACTCTGATTCTCCTTCAACTACTCTTGGCCTCCCTCCCTGGTATGTGTACAGTATTATCTGAGACTAAATCCATAAGCTTCCCTCTTCAGAAAGCCTTCGGTGATTATTAGAATCAGTGCAACAGCCTGTGAGCCTTCCTTTATCCAACAGAGAGAATTCCAGAAAGAAAAGGCAATAAGAGTTCTTATTAAATATCCTTGGGCTGCTTCACAAGCAAAGGATTTACCTGGGCAAAAGAAGGGAAGGGAGAGTCTTCTTCCAGGCTCCCAATACAGAATGAAGGACTGCCCTGACTTGCAGTGGGGGACACAGGGGTCAGCAGAAAGTCTGAAAGGGAACCAGAAACCTGATTATATGAATCAAGTTCCAAAGAGCTAGTGTCCTTTTAACAAGAGTGAAGAGATGAACTCTGAATCAGGTGTGGTAATTATTGATCTCACCTCAAAAACCAAATCATGATGCAGCTTCAATTCCGCCATGTTCTCAAAAAGCCAAGAACATGGCCCTATTATTCATACCAGTGATCACTACATAGAGAAAAGTTTAGTTTACAAAACACTAAAAGGTATGGCAGAATCTATTCCACAGTAAGAAAAGACCTTTCCACATCTGCTGGTTCTCAGGGCCTAGGTTTGGACTGTCATGAATTGGTTTTATATAGATGAAAAGCTCCAAGTAAAAGATATCAAATTTAATCAGGTCAGCTTTTATGTTCCAGCTAGCAGATGTCTAAGACTTGGAAATATTCAGTTAGAATCCAAAACACACATATCGCCTGGCCAGGCGTGGCTCAGCGGTTGAGCATCGACCTAGGATCCAGGAGATCTAGGTTTGATTCCTGGTCAGGGCACGTGCCTGGGTGGTGGGCTCAATCCCCAGTAGAGGGCAAGCAGGAGGCAGCCGGTCAATGATGACTCTCTCATCATTGATGTTTCAACTCTCTCTCCCCCTCTCCTTCTCTATGAAATCAATAAACATANCGACTCTCTCATCGCTGATGTTTCAACTCTCTCTCCCCCTCTCCTTCTCTATGAAATCAATAAACATATATTTACCTACCAGCAGACTTTGTAGGCTGTTTCTTTTTTCCCCCACCTGCTATTTATTATAAACAATCCCACAATAAGAACACATGTACAAACATGTTTTAGCATACAGGGGAGTATCTCAAAGGCAGAAACTAGAAATAAAGCATCAGGGTCTCAGGGGAAAATCTGTATTTACCCTGTCATATGAGCTGCGTCAAGGTTTTTAGAAGGTAAAGCATAAAGTAGCCAATGAGAAAGGTGAATCAAATAGCAAGACTCTGTTGTAACTCAGAAATAAAGGTAGTTACCTAAAGACCCCACCATGCCAAACAGGTCAGTATTGTAAATTCACACACCAGGGCTTTGCTTTAAGATCTGTGGCTGGTAGCCAACTTCATTCTTTACATCCCAACTATTTACCTGCTTGGGAACCTGGACTTCTGCTAAGAGGAGAAATGGAGAAAGCCCCATGGCCCTCAGTGCTGGTGGGACCCAAAGCAGAATCGGAGGAGGAAGTATAGGAATTGAAGGCAGGAAACTGTTGTAGGTTCTCTAGGGGAATGTGGACTTCTGGGTCTGCAAAGGAAAAGATGAGAATGGTAGGACCATTTACAGATTTCCTCAACTCTTTTTCAACAGTTGAAGACAGACAATATGAGTCCCCCAGGGGCATAAGGGTGTAGAGAGAAGCTTCAAAACCCAAATTTATAACTGTCACCTTAGAGAGACAAAGGTGAGGTCAACGATCCACCCTAAGAATGCATGGGACAATTATCCCCAGCATTCACAGATCTCCAATTCTCTCCCCCACCAGGGTTTTTCACTCCCTATGCCAAGGATGAATTTAATCTTACTCCTTACCACGTGCTATGCATGCACTTTGACCCAAATTAACTCATTTAATTCTCAAATAAGCCTATGAAGGAGGTACTCTCACGAGTCACACTTAAAGATTGAAAAGAACAAGTGGCAGGGCTAGGGTGTGAACCCCAGCAGTCCGCCTCCCCGGCTCGGGCACTGAGCCTCTGTACAGCGACGCAAGACTTGCACTAGTCAAGATGAGCGCTCCTGAACTTACACTTGCCCTGTTTCTTGTTCTCTTCCATCTCGATCCTGCGCTCTCGACGGCGCTCCTCCCGAGCCTTCTTTTGGCGCTGGCGCTTCCTCTTCTCAATGTCATCTGTGGGTTGGTCAGGTTATGAGGAGGCAGACCCAGGACAACTGGGCCATTCCCTCCTCCTAGCTGACAGCAGCTAGGGCCACATGAGTGGCCCCAGCTGGACTGGATGAGCAGGTGGAGTGTATCAGGAGGCTCTGAGACTCAAGATGCTGTTCCTTAACTCCTCCCGCACTGGGGGTCGGCTCATAGGAATCCCTGAACTGCACTATAAAGAGAAGCAAAATCGGCCATTCCTACCTGAGAATGTCTCCAGGGTTTCCTTAGAGACCACCGGAGGCTGCAGAGCCAGTTCACAGATGCTGAACTCGCAGGTGAGCGGCAAGTGAGAGAGGTACCTGTGACGCTGCCGAACATCCTACAGTGGAAAAGGACCAGTGCTCAGCTGAGACCTCACCTTGCTCTAGGGGCAGAGACCACATCCCAGGCACCCAAGCCTCACACTCAAAGACAGCACTGGGCTCAAAGAGCCATGCTCAAGTTATCACCATTTTGAAAAGCCAAACAGAAAGGGTCAATTAAGCTACAGTAAGGTAGACTAAGCAACCAAAAGCTGTTTTTTTTGGTTTGTGCTGCAAATGAACAAACTGAGCCTGGCAATAAATTATCTAAAGCTGGCTGGCTGTTTCTGATTTTCTGGGGTACATGACTGAGGGGAGAGAATAAGAAAAACAGAGTTACTTGTCAAAACTCTGGGAACTACTGACGGAATTAATGATAACTGGGCAGACATACAAAGCAGATTTACAGTAAAAAAAAAATGAAGCCCATCAATTTAAGTTTAATTTTGGGGTTTTTTCCTGCAAGTTTTATGGAGAGTCTATAGCATTCAAACATAGGCTAGACTTTTAACAAATTTCAGAAAAATACAGGGATAACTCTCAAAGAGCAAAAATTCACATATGTAAGTTATCAGGCCATTAATTCACAAGTATCTAAACCAAAAATGCATTTCAAACTTATGTAGCTTTAAATAAGTCCTCTAAGGACTTCTCATTTTCTTAGACATTTCTCCCAAGCAATAAGGAGAAACAAAAACAAACTCAACTTGAATGAAAGTGGGAGATATCTATATTCCCAAACCACAGTCAATAACCTGTGAAGCAGAGAGCAGTGGTGACTGACTTAATAAAACCCAGCATTTAACTTTTAAAAGGTAGCACTATTGTCCTGGCCACGTAGCTCAGTTGGTTAGAGCATCAACCTGATACACCAAGGTCGAGGGTTCGATCCGTGGTCAGGGCACATACAAGAATCAACCAATGAATGCGTAAATAAGTGGAATAGCAAATAGATGTCTCTCTCATAGAAAAAAAAAAAGGTAGCACCATTTTACTTTTTAAAAATTCATGGACACCATCACTGACAAANTGATACACCAAGGTCGAGGGTTCGATCCGTGGTCGGCACATATAAGAATCAACCAATGAATGCGTAAATAAGTGGAATAACAAATAGATGTCTCTCTCATAGAAAAAAAAAAAGGTAGCACCATTTTACTTTTTAAAAATTCATGGACACCATCACTGACAAAAATAGACTTGAAAATACAAAAAAAACTAAAGGCCTTGAAGGTTTGGGANGACTTGAAAATACAAAAAAACTAAAGGCCTTGAAGGTTTGGGAACTTGGGTTGACTAGGCCCACCTCAAAGACATTAGGTTGCCAGGCCAGTGTTACTCAGTGGTTGAGCATCAACCTATGANAAAATAGACTTGAAAATACAAAAAAAACTAAAGGCCTTGAAGGTTTGGGAACTTGGGTTGACTAGGCCCACCTCAAAGACATTAGGTTGCCAGGCCAGTGTTACTCAGTGGTTGAGCATCAACCTATGAACCAGGAGATCACAGTTCGAGATTCCCGGTCAGGGCACGTGCCTGGCTTGCCGGCTCGTCCCCAGCAGGGGGCATGCAGGAGGCATGACTCTCTCTCTTCCTCTCCCTGAAATCAATAAAGACATATTTTTTTAAAAAAGAAAAATACATTAGGTAATGCCGCTCCCCAACCCTCCACCTCTAAAGGAAGGCCTTACCTCAGACATGGAATACCCAGCGATCTCCACCACCGTCGCTGAGATCTTCTCAGGGCTCTGCTCCAGGCTGCCATACTCCCGCACGAGGCAGCGCACGTTCACAGGATGCAGGAACATGTACTGCCCATCCTCCGCTGAAGACAAGTGGCTCTATCACACAACTGTCTTGGCCAGTCCTCAAGACAGGGCCCTCCTTATAGCTAGGCATGCCTCTCCCTCCCCAAGCCAAAAGGCACAAGAGACCTAAGCACCAGGATCTAGTGGCAATACCTCCTCCTGCTCACAGAGTCAGGTCATCTCTCTGAAACATCTAGGTGGCAACTCAGCCCTTTTCCCCAGGGACCCTCACCTTGGTAAAAGTAGTAACAAGGAGAGCTGCTCGGGTGTGTGAAGCCTGAATCGGCAATGGGTTCCTGCTGGCTGGACTCAGTACAAATGGTCCCCTCTCCAAGATTGTCATCTGCTAACTCCGAGTCATCACAGGCCTCTGGACAACCCCTCAGGTCAGGCTCCGGTTCAGATACTACTTCCTCTTCCTCTACCAGAGGGAGACCAAGAGGACGAGAAGAGCCCAGAGAACACACTTCGGTGGTTTCTTCATCAAAAGCAGACAGATATTCTAGCACTCCCTGTTGAGACAAATTCTATTAACAGAAAGTACACGTGGCAAAGGTAGGCACAGAAACCAAGCTCTCTGGATATTTACCTTAGTTGACACATTCAGTGATGTAACACCCCTGGGGAAAGAACTAACAAAAACTCAGCAAGTACTCAGTCTCCTCTTCTTCCAAGAAAGTCTGCACTTCAAACAGTGCCTACCAGCTCAACAGCAGTATTTGAGGAACGGCAGCCACTGAGTCTGGAACAGGGACACACTAACCTTCCTGGGTTGAAATATGGACTCCTTTGCCAAGGGAGCCATCAGCACCAGTTGTTCCAGAGCAGCCACGACACCAGTGACCTCCCCTCTGCTTTCAGCCTCTCCTGACAGAGCCTCTTCCCGAGTCTAGACCACCAGAGAGAAGACAGGAGAAAGCTCAGTTTCCAGAAACACACTTAAGCTTGAAGGGCAAGGGCTTTCAATGGCCTCTCTCAATAGGAACAAAAGTTAAAAAGCAACAAGACCCGCCTGGCCAAGTAGCTCAGTTGGTTAAGAGTGTTGTCCCGATAAGCCAAGGTTGCGGGTTCAATCAATGGTCAGGGCACATGCAAGAAGTAACCAATGAATGCATAAATAAGTGGAACAACAAGTCCATGTTTCTCCCCCCCTCTCTCTAAAAATCAATAAATAAAAAAATTTTTTAAAAAGCCAGTAAGACCCAATGGGAAGAGTTTAAGTACTTAAAATCATCCATCTCTGACAATGAACACACAACACAAAAGCTTCCTGAACAGAAATCCAAAACACAGTACTAGTTTTTACAAACACTGCTGAGAAAGCCCAGCACAGGAGGCAGGTGGGGTTTGGCCAACCCCTACCCTCAACCTAGACAGCTCTACTTTTATGTAGCTTTTCTTCTACCTGAGATGAATTTGAACAAATGCTCTGCACTGTAGAAAGAAAAAATTAAATCCACAGGATCCTGCCCAAGGACTTAGACATCAGAGAGACAGGAATTCAAATACCAGATTTTTTTTTTAATCCTCACCTGAGGATATTTTTTCCATTGCTTTCCAGAAAGAGCAGGAGCGGGAAAGAGAGAAAATCGATGTGACACACACATCGATTGGTTGCCCCCCACACACACACCCCCACTGGGGCCAGGGATGAGCCCACAACCAAGGCACTTGGCCCTGGCCAGAATCAAACCCAGTCCGCAGGCCGACGCTCTAGCCACTGAGCCAAACCAGTCAGGGCAGCCTGGTTATTATCTTAAATGTGAGACTGAAGTAACTTAAGCCCGCCATCCCGTCCCGTTTCCAGGGCATGTCTCACCTTGAGCTCCTGGATGGCTGCCTCAATAAAGCAGGATTCGGGACTGTGCTTCTCCTCTGCCAGCTGCTGCTCCAGCGCTATCTTCTCTTCCTGGACAACCCGGCACAGCACCTGCTCCTTAGAGGCCAGCAGCAACTTGGAGTACTGGCTATGCTGTTCATCTACAAGAGAGCCAGCAAGATCACAAAAATGCAACACTCAGAGCTCGCAACCATGTGGCTAAATAGAAACTTTCACACACAGATTTTTCTTCTAAGGTGAAGAGGAAGTAATTTAGAATAATTTCCTAAAAATAATTTAACAATGACCTAAATGTAAGTTGTATTACTCTGACACTATCATATGAGAAATCTATCCTAAAAAACCCAAAGATATAGGCATAAATGTAGTCAACTGATGATCACTGATTATAGCACTGTCCGTAATATCAAAACACCTATAACCAACCAGTACAATAACAAAGAAACAGTTAAAGACATGATGGTGTATTCATTAAAGAGAATTTTGCAGACAGAACATGGGGAAAAAACAAATGCCAGACTACAGTAAAACTTCTGGGGGCACCTCTGGGTAAAAGGATCATGAATGATTTATGCCTTTACTTCCTTTCTCCATATTTTCCGTACTTTTTAAAAAGTTTAAAACAATGTTATCTTTGAGAAATCCTTGAAATGCCCTTTTCTCCCTTTCCATCCTAGTACCCACCCAGAGAAAACCATTTACAAATTTGTATATATACCCTTCAAATCTTTTTTTAAAATGTTTTTATTGATTTCAGAGGAAGGGGGAGAGGCAGAGAGGCAGAGAGGGAGAGAGAAAGAGAGAGAGAAACATCAATGATGAGAGTCCCTGATCAGCTGCCTCCTGTATGCCCCCTACTGGGGATCGAGCCCAAAACCTGGGCATGTGCCCTGACCGAGAATCGAACCAAGATCTCCTGGATCATAGGTCAATGCTCAACCTCAGAGCTACGTCAGCCAGGCCTTTCAAATTTATACACATGTTCAGCCTTGGCCAGTGTGGCTCAGTTGGTTGAGCGTCATCCCATGCATCAACTGGTTACCAACTGGATTCCTGATAAGCACTTCATACACTCTATATCCTAATTGCTTGTCTACCAATCTCTCTCTTCTATCAGACTACTGGGCTCCTTGACGACAGGTGCTAAGAATGGCTGACTGGAATCCCCAAGACTGGGCACAGTGCCAGATCCTATTCAACAAAGCTTTGTAAAGTGAAAAATTAAAATACATATAACTGAACCAAACCTGAAACCAAGAGTTAAGCTACTCTCTGCAAACTCTGCCCTAACCTACTGTAATCCTATGACTAATTTGGAAATGCTAGAAATTGCATGCCCAAAGGCTAAATTTCGGATAGTAGAAAGATATTCACTAGCCTTAAGGAGTGCACCCAGGTTTACTTGCCCCCAAAATTAACTGAACTCACCTCCTAGATGAATAGGATGGTCGACATTCATCCATTTGGATTTGGGCAAGGCCACCAACACCCCTTTCTCCCTCTTCATCAGCTGCATCGTAATGGTATCACCAACAACATACTGACGAGACTCTGTGGCAACAACACTGTAACATGGACATTTAGCTGTAGCAGAGCAAGGAGTTAGCAAACTGAGGTCTAATCTAGTAAATATCTCTATCTCACCTCTTGAGATCCTTCTTATGCACAGAACTGTAACAGATGGGACATTTACTCCAGGTCTTCTCACTCAGTGAAAGATAATGCAGGATGCATGCCCAACAGAAGATGTGTCCACAACGGGTTATCTTGGCTGCAGTAGGTGGATATAGGCATATTGGGCAAGATGGCACTTCATGGCTACAAATACGCTGAAACAAAATGCCACCACAAGTTACGCTGCTTTCAGAATTAACTAGGGATTGTCAAAGTTAAAGCCGCTCCTCGCCCATCCCCATACATCTCTACTCAACACACCTTCCTAAAAGTGTTTAACAAAGCAAGTTATATGTATGGTAGCACTTTATAAACAAATCATTAAGGAAACTATAATGGTTTAATATAATAAAACAACTACATAAAGGTATTTTGGGTGTTCTATAGCAAAGGGGGGAAAAATGACAGAAATCAATATATGATCCCATTTGCAGAAAAAGATGTATATGTACACATATAGACATAAAAGCATAAAAAGGGTCTAGACTTCATGTAATTCTCAGATGCTTTTANATGTACACATATACACATAAAAGCATAAAAAGGGTCTAGACTTCATGTAATTCTCAGATGCTTTTATGACTTTTCACAGTAATGGGAGTCCAAGCTTTGGGACATATCATTCTGAAAGGTATTTTACATCATATAACCTAGGAGTGGCAAAGGGATACCCAGAGCTCATAATTTCAATGGAAAACAAATATAACAGTGGCTTGGACAGAAGTACATCTGTGTGGCTCATTCACCAGCCACAAGGCTAATGCCTGATTTGATACTGATTACTACAAAAGGCTACCAATGAAGCTATGTCCATGTAATGAGTCCACCCTGGGTCAGGAGGGTAACCAGAGCCCCTCATGTATTCCCCTGGTTACTTCTTCCCAAGAGAAAGAACGTAGTAGACCGGACTGCTTTTATACCTTCAACTCAGAGCCCTCCAACTCCCCAGTCCTGCAAGTCAGTGCCAATTAGAGAGCAAAAAATAAACTCCAGGAGAAACAAGACTGATCTCCAGGAAATATCTACAGTAAGGCCATGTAGAAAAGGGTATTGGCAGTGAACCCAGCCAACAGCTGCTGTGTCACCACAGTCCCGGTTCCTTTCTTTAGTTCTCTCTCCCACTAACAGCTTAAAAGCTTAGCTGAGCTACTCACCACTTGTTCCACAAAGTCCCAATTGACTAAGGTATCAGGATCAGCAAAATGAACTGTGTAGTCTTGGTCATCAGACACCACAAATTGGCAGCTGAAAATAGGGAGAAAGACAAGGAAAAGGCAGACTGTCAGAATCCACCAACAAGCTCTCAGCAGAAATTCATCTCTTCACTTAGAAATCAAGTGAAGGCCATTAGCAGCCATGGTTTGTGAGGCACTGAACTCAGTTCTGAGCCCTGGCTCTGGAGGGAATCCAAAGACTCAGCAGGCAGGAGTCTAAATCCATGAACTCTGCTTTCTCTGCTTCCAAGCCCAGCCAAGCTGCCTATTAGCCTCCCTTGAACTAAAACTAACCCATACTGTGGCTCTATCAACCAGCAGGAAGCCAGACTTGCTCCCTCACCCCTTGGAAATCCTGGAACGTAGCTAATCTTCAAGGCAGCAGAAAAGGCTGTTCTCACTCAATTATTTGAGTACCAGTTTATATAAAGTACTAAATGGTTACTTCAGTCTAAATCCAAGGTTAAATCTTACATTGTAACTAACACCACAAAAAAGGAGAAAGGGAATCACTATTTGAGCAAATGTATGCCAAGCACTCCAACTTGTCATTCACTTTTCCCTTAAGTAATCTTTGCTGCTTTACAGAGAAGCTGAATCTCTGTGGTTAGGTAAATTACTCAAGATCAAAGACCAAAACAAGATTCGAATCTGGGTTCAATTCCAAAGCAAACATTTTTACAACCTCATCATGATACTAAAGCATTATTTAATTTTAGTATTTATTTATTCATTTATTTACTTTTAAGCGCCAAGAACATTCACTTGGAAAATGGGTTTTCAACACCAGCCAGAAGAAAAAGAGGAAAGAAAGAAAAAAAAAAGAGCCAGATCAACTCCCTTTCTGCCTCTCTCTCACAGTTTAAAAGAAGTTTCTTCTCAGCACAACTGCCCAGGGGCTTAATTTCACTATCCTCCTAAGTGTAGCCATACTCACTTGGCCTGTAAAAAGAGCTCCTTGTTAAAAGGCTTATGCCCCCACTTGTTCCTTCGTCCCCAGCTGCCATGTCCATTGCCTTCAAAGTGACCTGTCTGGCCACGGGGTTCAAAAGTGAAATTCAACAAGTGGTTCAGGTTGATCTTCTTTGGACCAGAGAACTGGGCAGGGCTAAACTCTGCCCGTTGAGCCTCTGCTACCTAGAGAATGAAAATGAATCAGAGTATTTCCATTAAGACGACACTGATTTACAGCAGAAACCAGCAGAACTCCTCCTTCTATGACTTAAACAAAACATAGGCTTAAAGTATACAATCTTTCTAGGAGGCGGTAATGCAAAAGTCTACCCAAGATCTAGAAGAGGGGGGAGCCTTTAACATACAATTACTTAAACTGTTTACTGCCCTGCTAAGCGGCAATTAACCATTAAACTCCTCCAGCTTTCTTGAAGCACAAAGATTTACTTACTGGATTAATCGATTTTTCGACAGTCCCATAGGACTCCTACACCTTCACTCGTTAGCTACCTGTTCTCTGGTTTGTTTCTGGCAAAAGCAAGTCTACAGAACTATACTCTGGAGGCAGCAGGCAGGCAGCCTCTAATTGCCATAGGCTTCAGGATCCTGCCAGAGACCTCCTATCTAAGACACACACTGCTATTCATGGTTAATTAAAACTGACAGAATAAGAACATGTAGGCAGACTGTGTCCAGAAATAAACCCAATCAGCAGACTCAGAAACAGTTTAGAAAGGGGCAGGAAACAACATGAGAAATATCACTGTACACAAAGACGGAAGAAATCATTTGGGGTTTTTTTCGGTCCTCTTAATATTCCCAAATTGAAGTGGTAGAGATACCTGCTATAAGTCAGCTAGTTTATTTTCTAATCCCACTCACCCATTTAGTATTATAAGCACTTTACCATGTAAATATTAGTATACAGTCACTTTAAATGGCTATGTATCATTACATTATTAGGGAATACTATAATCCCCTAGTGTAAGACACAGATTGTGTGTAGCTTTTCCACCACGAAACACAATAATGCTGCAATAAACACACTTCTGGATAGATCTTTGTGCACAAATATATGGGCACCTATAATTATTTCTTTTGAACGTGAAGACTTACTGGGTCAAAGAAAATACAAATGTAAAGCTTTTGCTGCTTAATCAAATTCAGAGATTAGTAAGCAACACTTGCACATATAATGAATCTGAAGAGTATAAACGAGCAAGAGATACCTTCTATTTCACAGGTATTCTATGCATAAATTCTAAATATATAGAATCATAGTATATGACCTTTATGATTATAATACAATGACATACCATACAGTTAGACAACACCCCTCCACTGTTTATGTAACTCACCGAGGGAAGCCCAAGTCTTCCATCATCCCCTATCTTTCATCCCTTAGATTCTCATTTCCATAGGGCTCTGCTAACTGCTAACAAGGTTTTCTACTCTCAATGCTCCAAACTTAGATAATAGCTTGTGCTCAGTCAACAAGAATCTCAATGCAAATACATTTCCAACATGAAGTTCTTTAACTCAACCCTCCCTTTCAAACCCATGTACTCCTCCTGAAATCTTACCCATCCATGGTAGCTACTTGCCTTACCTCAAACGCCCCAAAGCAGTAATACTTCTGTTCCCTTGCACTTGCTATTCCTTCTACTAAGATACTCTTCCCCAGAATTGTTAGGTAGGCTCCCTTGCCTCATTCAGGACTCCAATCAAAACTCGCCTCCTCAGCAGCTTTCTTCAGCCACCTCCTGAAACTGTATTACTTGCTCCTCTCTATCCCTTTACCTCAGTCTACTTTTATTTTTTAATTCAATAAGCACTTACCATCAGACTTGTTACACAATGGTTTATTTAATATCTCCCCAAACTAGAATATAAGCTCCTGAAAGACAATGTTCCACCCATGTTGTATTCCAGACTCCTAAATGGTATGTGGCGCACAGCAGGCAAGGAATAAATTTCTAGTGAATGAATGAATTCTCCCATGAGTGCGTCCATTAAATCTGTCCTATTCTATAACGGTAACATTGCATGGAACATTCAAACAGCAGGGTAATTTATTTAACCAGTCCCTTGGTAATGACATTTAGACTGTTTCCTAAATTTTGCAACTACAAAAAATGCCGCAACGAATTCCCCTCTACAGAAGTCTTTATGCCCTTACAGAAGGATATCTAAGAAACTCCTAAAATCAGAGTACCTGTGACTAAAAATACGGCATTTTACATTTTGCTAGATACGATAGGGCAAATGTCATTAATTAATTAATGTCATTTTATTACCTGAATACTCCAAAGAGAATTTATAATTCAAGAGTGATAATAAAACAACTAAACAAACTAAGGTGCCCCAAATCTGCTACAATTTCTCACATTTCAGTATTACAGTACCTTCATCCTCCAAGGACATTTTCATAACCTTCAAGGGTGAAAGGAGGCAAAGTCCCAAACCAAGTTAATCCTCAACTACTCAAGACTCCTCTGGTTATCTATAAGCCCACCTCTTGCTCTGCCCCCAGCCCCACCCCAACTACTGATAAACTGGAAGAAAAAGGAAAAAATCAGACCTTATGCTTATGCTCTAGAAAGAATATTTCTGAAATGCCTTACCTCATCTCGTCTTCCACCATTAAAAGAAGAGCTAAAGAGTTTGCTGCTGCCGCCGCCCCTTTGAGGAGGCATCTTATTAAAAGTTTTGCTTTTCTGTGAATTGGAGCGACGGGACTGGTTGCTAAAATTTTCATTTTTGGGGCAGTAAGGTTCACGTTTGCGATTATAACGTTTGGATCCACTTGAGTTCTTTCCATCTAAAAGCAAGAAACACAAAAGAATTAGTTGAGAAATAATATATATACTTGGCCAATTGCTCACCACCTCCCAACAAAATTGTGTTTAAACAAGGATAAATGGGGACTGCTCTGTCTGTGGAGAAGCCAGTTTGTCTCACTGCTTCACTAATAAACTCTTAAAAAATGAAAAAAAGAAAAAAAGTTAAACGGGCTCTTCCACGACTTCCAAGAATTCTGGGTTTGGGCCAGAGCATTAGTCCTTGGGCAAGACATCACATAGTAGGGTGGGTTTTGGTTTTTGGTTTTAATGATGAAACTTAAAGGATTCCTCCCTCAGAATGAATACTATATAGATCAAACCACACAGAGCCTCAGTTCACACCTTTCTGTTTTACAGAACTGCTCTTGTAAAAGTCCATTCAGACAAACTCATAGGAAAAGGAAGAGCCTATCTCTATTAGAGAAAAACACTTTATCTGGAGGCAGAATAGAAGATACTTTCTCCTTAAATTACTACGTTGCTAGATTCTATACTGTAACAGCTTGGCCTACACCCTAGCAGATATATTCAAGAGGCATAGAAACAAGACAATATTTATAGATGTTCTAGAGGTCAAACTGAAAAGCTATTAAATTGACAAGAGAAATTGAGATCTAAGAGCATATTAGATCAGCATGAGCTATACTCTTTTAAAAATATTTTTAGCTTTTTTTTCTCCAGTTGTAAGAATATATGTTCAATTTTGAAATCCAGGATAATAATTTACATCTGCCAGTACTCACAGAATACCAACCTATAAAGTGTTTAATTTCCTTTTACTCGCCATTTCATCCACGTGCCGCACACACACCTTCCACAAAATGACAGGTACACAAGATATGCTGTCTTCTACCTATTACTCCATGACCATGTTCATTCATGCATCCTACTCTTCAAAAGCATGATTAATGGCTACACTATTGTCTACCATTTACTTATAGAATAATATAACCAACCCCTTGTTGCTGTACATTTAGGTGGCTTCTCATGTTTAGCTAGTTTAATATAGTATTGGAAGCCACTTTAAACAGAGGCCTGTATGATTATGCAAAACTCTCAAAGTGGAATGAGCAGATCAAGTGTAATCATTAAAGCTTTTACACACCCACACGCTGCTCTCTAGAACCATTATACCAATTTACTTACCTTCTAACGACACTATAAGAATGTCTAATTCACTATATTCTTTATAATACTGAGTTGAACAAACTTTGTTAAATTGAATGGTCAAAATAACTTCTTGTTTTAAATTTGAATTTCTCTGGTGCTTAGCAGCAAACACTTTTTCAGTCTGTTGACCATTTGTATTTTGTGTAAAAAGCCTGTTTGTGTTCTTTGCCCCACTATTTTCCTACTGGGGAGCTGAACTGCATAGATTATTTTGTCCCAAATTGAACAAAGAACCCTCACCAGACATTTTAACATGTGCCAAAGTTTACCAGCTTTTTTTTTTTTTTTAAAAAAAGCACAATAAAACCTATCTGGAGAACGATTCACAACTAAATAACTAGAGGTCTGCAAAACAGTCTTTGGACAAAACGAGACTAATTAACATTCTTGTCCTTTTGCTCACTCCATGTTATTTCAACAGAGAAATCTGACCAAATCAACTCTGTACATTAATTTAATGGCTTTAAAAGCAAAAACTTAGAATGGGAGTCAAGGGACTTTTAATGTAGAAATCCATTAGACTTACCCTCAAACTAGAAGGGAGTGGTGGTTTACAAAATCAAGAGGATCCTACATAAGCCTCAGAAACTATCAAGTTTTCCCCCCCAAAATATGTATTTTAATCTTGTTTATGTTAAAGATACCTAGTTAACAGAAATATGTCTGGAAAAGCAACACAGCAGGCTTTTAATGAGTTACCTTCAGAAAATGGAACTATCTACTTTTACCAGTTGGTAGGAATCATCCAGATGAGTTTTTAAGGGATTCCTATGCTCAGGCCTTACCCTCTAAGAGTCTGACTTCAGTATACAGAATTATCGTTCTGTATACTTATTATGTGGGTAATTTTGAAAACTATTAAAACCTAGAAAAAAATTATTTCTAGACAAGTAAGATGATCAACTTATTTTACAGCAGACTAAATAAATCAAAGGTGAAGTACATCTTCAGAGAAAAGGAAACGTCAGCCGATAAACCACACTCCAAATTTTGACAGCAATCACCTTACACTCTGTCAATGACATGGAATAAATGAAGGGTATGCCATCCTCTCCAAACTTAACCAAAATACAACTTAGGAGACAAGCTAATAGTCATGTGAGGTGGCTGCAATGCAAACAGAAAACAGATGGTCACAGAAACACTGCCAGGCTAGGTTAGGGAAAGTGAACCAACTTTATTCTTAAGTTAGAATTCATGCATTCACTGGTTGATTCTTGTACGTGCCCTGACTGGGGGATCGAACCTGCAACCTTGGCATATTGGGACGACGCTCTAACCAACTGAGCCACCTGACAAGGGCTGAAGTTAGAACTGTTGAAGTAGAATTTTACCAACTTCTTCAGTTTGCATCAGTTATTGACAAACATGGCATCAGCGGTAACAATTAGAAAGTGAGGGTTCAGATCTCATACAAATTTTGCCTTGCCTTTAACCCATGGAATTCATTTATAGTAAGACTGCAAATACACAGAAAATTCAGAGGAATAAAAAACCCCAGCTAACTTTACCATGAGAACAAATGAGGTCTTATGAACAAAAGAGGCACATACAGAAAACACATATTCCCCAAACCTCCTCATTACCCAAGACTATTTCAGATGACCCTACATTTGACCCTGATGCTTTCAAGACAAGCACCTAATAGTTTGCACAGGTTTAGGTAAAGCCAGATTCTACACTTGGAGGGCTCACAAAGTAAGCTGGAACTCAGGGTTGTTTTCATTTAAGTCATTTATTACCACACTGGCAAGGAAATAGTTTCATAATGCTTACAGAACTGTTCTCTGCAAGACAGAGAAGTGCTCTTTCTAAAACAGATTACAACAACTGACCACATATGGATTTACGATTTTAGTTGCTAAAATCAACTCCCTCATTTGTCTCCCACTTACCTAAAGGTATGAAGTCAGACATCTAAAGTGAGAGGTTGGCTCTTATCTCTACTCCCAGGCAACAGGCAGCTAAAGATTGAAGGTACAGTCACGTCTGGGACCCAGAGATAAAATTCAGAGTACTTTTTTTAAAATGTTTTACAGACAACTTGCCAGGATGTACATGTAAATAAGTTAGGGGTAAAAGTTGTCCTCCTTTCTCTCACAGGAGATAGCAATTAAATGATCTGATTTAAATTTTGGAAAGCAGACAAAAAAGTCAAGGTAAGTACCTGGGGAGAAACATATTCTCTGTTGAAAATTTTAAATTTCAAAGTGATGGTACTAAATCCTGACTGCACAAGAGAATCACCTGCAGAGACTTTTGAAGCTATGGCTGTCAGGGCCCAAGGGCCCAAGCAAGGCCAAAAGATCCACTAGGGAAGGGCCCTACACATCCCTATTTTTTAAAAAAGGTTCTCAGGAGATTCTAATGCCGTCAGAGCTGAGAATAACTAACTGACAAGAACTACTGTCAAGACATATTCCAAAAGGGACAAGACCAGTAGTTAAATGACTCAAATCCAGAAATCAGGATCCCAGAATCAACAAGAGACCTGAGAACTTAATCCAATGTCTCAGTTATTCCACATTTCCCTAAAAGAAAGTTGTCTACCAAATAACAGTAAGTATATCTCAGTCTCCTTCCCCCATTACTAAATTAAATGCCATAAGTTTTCTGTTAATAATGTGGCATCATCAACATTTCTAGCTCTAGTGCTAACAGGTGGCACAGCCTAGAGGTTATATCAGCCAGGAAGTTTCTGCTGCTGATTCATGCTGTAAACACAAGCAAGTTGCTTACCCCATCATCCAGAGTGGTTGGCAAGCACCTCTGGAGGGACAATATGTGGCCTCACTACAGAATCAACTGACAACAAATAGAATTCAGCTGAAATTACTAATTCTGAATGAAAGGAAGAGAGGTGGTATCAGGAACAATGTATGTGCCAGTAAGTTACTGGCTTGCTAAGTGAATTTATACAAAGTGTATTTGTAAATATTGCCTAGGACTCCTTAAGAATTCACTTGGACAAATCACTCTAAACCCTCTAAGCTTTGGTTTTCTTGTCTGTAAAATAGGGCTAATCATCTATTGTCCCTCCTCACAGGGTCATGAGGATTAAGAGAAAACTTCCTTGAAATGCCTAACACAGTGCTTGGCACACAGCCACTATTATTATTATTTGAATGCTTATTATGGATAAATCTAAATCATTCCAGTCAAGAGCACCCGCTAGACTTCCAATGAAGTCATATAAACCAAGCACTCCAGCCAAGAGACCCAGAAATTCTTATAACTTATCTAAGTGGTTTTGATTGAAGGTTTCAAGTCACTCAATTTTCAAACCCATCGAAACCTCCAGGTCCATTTACAACTCAGAGGCATTCTTCAAACCAGATTACTACTAGTAACCTGGCTTCTGTTACCAGAATAAGACGAGTGCAGGGCAGTGTTTCATATCACCAACCTCAAAATAAATGCTTCATAATACCTGACCTTCCCTTAACCTCCACGGCAGTATCACTCCCGTCCCAGGGAGATGGGGCAAGAGCCTGGTTCCGGGCTAAGGTCCATTGTTTGCCCATAAACTGCCTAGCCTCTCTGCCTCTTTTTACTTTCTTTGCTTTTTCTAAATGACTTTCCACAAAACTCTGGGATTCCTGGGGTATTCACTGTTAAACATTCTTAGAACTGCATCTTAACCCTACCAGAACAAAGCTATAGGAATATATCCAAGAAAGAGAATGTTATGTAAAATGTTTGAAGCAATTAGCCAACACAAAGAAACTGTGTTATGCCACTGGGACAGGAAAGATCAAATAAATCCCAGTAGCCAAATTTACCTATTTTCCCGTGTGCATGAAGAGCAAACTTAAGCCAGCCGCAGGAACAAAGATTCAGGTATATTAATCATGTAACTAGGAAGCAAATGACCATTTATAATACACATGTTTTGGAGAATAGAAACCAGAGGTTTTTTTCTTCACATGAGGTAGGGAAAGGAGAGAGGAAAAGGAAATATTTAGAAATTGAAAAACTCTTAAAAAAAATAAAACTCTTGTTCTTGTTGCTTTGACAAAAAGAAAGGCAAGTTATGTCCTTTGAACTTACCCTTCCTGTTCTTCAACTCAGTACTCTGAGACTCAAGAGGTCCTTTCAACAATTTCCAACAGAATCAAGTGCATCAAAATTGTCAGCCCGGCTGGCGTAGCTCAGAGCTGAGTGTCGACCTATGATCCAGGAGATCGAGATTCGATTCCTAATCAGGGCACATGCCCAGGGTTTCAGGTTTGATCCCCAGTAGGGGGCATGCAGGAGGCAGCCAATCAATGACTCTCATCATTGATGTTTCTATCGCTCTCTCTCCCTCACCCTTCCTCTCTCGGAAATCAATAAAGATATATTTAAAAAAAAAAAAAGTTGAGCCAGCTTTTGGAAAACCTTTTTATGTAATTATGCTGAATCTGAGTCTACCCTTTTGTCATAGCAACCATCTAGAAGTCACTGTAGAAAAGGTCCTGAATGCTATCTGTTGTGGCAGCGCTGGTCTTAGCTTAATGTTCTGAAGGCAGCATATGCTACCATTCACTTCAACCTTAAAAATTAGCCAAAACCCAATTTCCTAAGCTATTTTTAATCTCTTTCTACTCTACCTCTGAATTTGTTCCTAAATGCAAAGCAATGGGCTACGGATGAAGAACTCTGTATTCAGCTACAAACCTTCCTTTTTGCTAAGCAGTAGTCAGAAAGGCAGGCACTGGTAATGGCAACTATTGTCAAGCTTTCTAACAAACACATTAAACAAAAACCAATGATATCAGAGGGCACACTTGTGTATTTCATATAACCTAGGAAAAAGTCCTTTACATGAGATGTTGGTTTTGTTGTTGTTAATCCCTACTTAAGGATTTTTCCATTGATTTTTTTTTTTTTTAGACAGTGGGGAGGTGGAGAAACATTGATGTGAGAGAGACACATCGATTGGTTGCCTCCTGCATGCAGTGTTCTTTTATTCCTCAGAAGCTTTCGATTAAGGTGAACAAGCCCTAACCAGTTTGGCTCAGGGGTTCCCATGGACCGAAGAGTCCCGGGTTCGATTTCATCCAAGGGCATGTACCTGGATTGCAGGCTCCATCGTGTGTGGGAGGCAACCAATCGATGTGTCTCTCTCTTGCCCTTCTACTCTCTCTGAAAAAGCAATGGAAAAAATATCAAGTGAGGATTATAAAAAAAATAATAGGCCCAACAATTAATATTTATTCTATACAAGTCTGTCTGAAATGTTAACACTGACAAATATTTGCTTTGGTCACACAACAACAGAATTCTGTATCATCCTGTGGAGTAACAGGAGTTAGTTCTACTAATCAACACATTCAAAGTCAGGGGCAATATGAGTAAAATGCCTTAAATACCTTAGTTTTGCTGTTGTTCTGTTTGAGTTGTTACAAACTTTCACCTACTGCTCACTAAAGAATAAATGTTAAGGCATTTATTGCTGCTGACTCATGGCTTGAAGAAGAGCTTCAGAAAAATTAGTTGAGAATTCAGACAGCTGGAGAACCAAAATCTTTAACTTTACATCTGGGAATAGTGTGCAAAAGTAAATTTATCACCTAAACTGAGAAATATTCAGACCACTCTAAACCAGTTCCAACAATGGCCAGAAGGACTGGCTACCCTCTATCTCTAAAGGGATCTGTGATAAACCTATATATGTACAAAACCCTAAAATTAGTCTACGTAATACTGCCTGACGTGGCCTTAGAGTCTACCACACTAATCCCTGGTTAGATATTTAAAGCATTCATTTATTATCTCAACAACTGGTCTCCACCTGAGTTCCCTAAGCAGTCTCTATAAGTCCTCAGCACCCCAGGTAAACAAGTTTGCTATATCCAGCAGGTAAACTCAGAACCCAAGTCAGCCTTATAGTTGTTTTTTCTTTTCAAGTCCGCCTTACAGTTTTTTAATCTTAAAAAGTTTTAAACAACTGAACTCAAAATGTTTCCCTCTCTGACACATTTTCCCACTGAACACATCTTCCTACCACTGCTAATATAATCGCAATACAAAAGAACTGAGATTACAACCCCAGAACCACCAACTTCTAACTTGGGCCTCTCAACTTTTTTCTTTTTTAGATGAAAATTCCACCTTGTTGGACACGTTAGTGACTGGAGTATCCATAACAGAGGTAAAAAGCCTAGCCCAGTACCTGGCACATGGTAAACCCTCAATGAATGGTAGCAATTATCATCATCATGGTTATAATTTAATATTGAGAAGCATGACTACAGAATGACAAAATCTTCCATGTAAAATGGCAAAACTGGAGCCTAACACAGGGAAATAGACATGATGTGTATTTGCTGCATTATAGGTGTCAGGTACTTACTTCATTTGTTTTCTAAGTTAATTTAATTCTCATTATTTCCACCTTTACAGGTAAGGAATGTCAGACACTTACTCAAGGTCTGGCAAACCTAAAAAGATTGAATCCACACTGAACAAAGCCTTTCAAGGACGAGTTCTCTTCAAGAGAGAGGGATGGCTCTGGAGCCAGGTTATTAAATATAAGATTCGAGTTTGAAAAGTCTTTGGGCCCCACCCTCCCCTGTTTAAACTTGAACACTATCCAAAGCTAATTCAACACTGAAGGGTAAGACAACTTTGTGTTTTTAAGAGTGTGAACTGATGAGTCAGACAACTAGGTATTAAGGCCTGCTTCGAGGCACATACTAGCCCGGCGACCTTAGCTTTTCTGAACCTCAGTTTCCTCACCTGCAAAATGGGAATAAGAATAGCACCTACTTCACGAACTGTTCTGAGTATTAAAGCAAGAATTCACGTAAACCACGCAGTTCAGGGCTCATGAAGAGTTAAGTGTAAGCAATGGGAACCATGGAAAAGGGGGGAAATACAGGAACCATAGTAGACAGCGGAGCTGTCCCCGGGTGCGACCCTGGAGACGAGAGAGCGAGGATCCGCCCCGCGCCCACCTCCATGGTGGCCCGCGCTTACCGCTCTTGGGTTTAGACTCGCCGGCCGGCCCCGCAGAGGCGGAGCGAGGCGGCTGTTGCCCTTTGCTGTTGCCCGAAGAGGCGGAGGAGCTGCTGGGGCCGCTGTTCTTGTCCATGTCGGAGGCGGTGGCGGCGGCGCTGGGGGAGCTCTGCGGCATCAACGGGGGCCTCGGCGGCGGCGGCGGTC